AGAGAGAGAGAGAGAGAGAGAGAGAGAGAGAGAGAGAGAGAGAGAGAGAGGCGACATTTATCGACTGGAAAACATGCCATTGCGTGGACAGTCGCATCAGAAAAATGAGACAGCCCTGGCGAAGGCGGAGGCGGCCAGGGGGGAAGGGGTCATGTCCCGAAGCCGAAAAAGTTGCATGCAGAAGGCACGAAGGGCGTGATGGGGGTTGAGGGGGGGGAGCAGGGATCGCCCATGGAGGGGCATTCCATGGAGACACTGACACTGGGGTTCGGGAGAGACAGTGTACCAAGGGAGTAGTTCCTCGCACTGGCCGGGGTTGGCGCACAAGGAACGGCACATGTCGGTGGTAGTAGAAGCTTGCGCTCGCAAGGGACTGCCATTGCCGAATCGGGAGCTCAAAGACCTGTCATTCCAGCGGTGACAGTGGTGGCCAAAGCTGGACGCGGCGACAAAACACCTGTCCAGGCCGTGCGAAGTCCTCGCGTCGATCCGTCGAATACCGTAGCCGGGTCATTGGGCAGGGTGCTTCTGAATCAGGTACCGAACGTGTCAAGCGGGGCTGTCCACGACGCCGCCAACACCGGGTGGGAAAGGCGAGAAGAGGGGACGCGGGAGGATGCGGGAAGGAAAGAGCAGACGACGGACCGTACTCCGGCGGCCGCCGCCGCCACCGACGAACCTCTTGCGAAGTGGAATAAAAGATCGCGGCAGGAGGACGACTTAGACACAAAGTCGAAGCTGTGGACGGACGAAAAGTCGTTCTGGGGGGCAGGACCTGGTTGCCTAATCGCCGACACTGTGCACTCTTGCGCAGACTACTACTACGCGATCGACGATCGTGAATGGTGACGCTAGCGCCAGCGCTCCCGCAGGCCTAATCATGCCAACGGATGACGGGTCCCGCTTCCGGATCGAAGACCCAGCGCAGCACGATCCAGCTCTTCGTAGGGCGAGAAGGACGGAGAACGTGGCCATGCGCGTGATCCACGGGTGGATCTTCAGGTCCCCTTCCAGAGCCGATGGTTTTGCCCGTGTGGAGTCGTATGTGTCAGTGGACTACCCGACGGATCTGGTGAAAGCAGTGTGGCAGTCCCTAGAGTGGTCGAGGGTAGTTTCTCCTAGCGTTGTTTATCACACGCTCGCCCTCAAGATGGACATTCCGTTGTGGTATGTTGGGGCGTACATCCACGACAGGCCGGAGGACGATGACATGGCAGCCCTTCAGGAGTCCACAGTCTTGCATTTGGCGTCCTGCTTCCAAGATGCGCTCCGAGGCGGCCAGTGGTCCGAGAACGGGAAGATGTCCTCCAGGCTGAATAGAATCGGGGACGCCTTCTGCCTTCTTCTCGCCGCCAACATGTGGATCATGCGCATGGGTGGCGACGACGCCCGTTCTCAATATGAGGCGTCGTACTACTCGCAGCACAAAGTTCGTTGGTTGAAGTTGGAGGGTGAAATGGTCTAGCGTCTTCACCCGAATAGAACGCCCCGTCATTATAGCGGTATCTGGTACAATTTCGAGTCCAGATACAGCTATAATGACCAGACGTTCTATTCGTGTGAAATGGTCTAGCGGGAGAAACTCCCACTGAGACTCCGTGGACAGTCAGGGCTACCATGATTGCAGGATTTGGGGCTGGTCCAGCCTGCATAGCCTGCCATTGCCATCCAGCCATGTGGTACGGAAGTTGTCCACCAATTGCCTCTTCTTGTGCTCGTTCGTTCCATTTTGGATTCTGGTTTGCAGTGTGTTCCAGACCGCCTGTGTCTCTGCCGTTATTGTTTCGGCGATTGAGGTTCTTGCCTGCATAAAGCCAAATGTATGGAGAGGTCTGGTCGTAACCTGGGGGGGGGGGGAGGAGGTTTAAGAAAAGGCTATCATGAGGAAGTTGAAATGCAGACCCCACCCATCATGGGTGATTACAGTCCAGTTCTGAATTCACTGACTATTCCAAATTGACATGGGTTATGACATGGGTTAATTTATTATCCCCCATGTAAGATGTCTGGTCGCAGGGCCCAAGGCTTTGATTATCACAAAGAGGAGGAGAGAGACAAGATAGGGCTTCAGAATCAGGGGGGAAGGGGAAAAGTAGAGAGGCCTGGACAGACCTTGTGACAGTGTCCGGTCATTGCAGCAAAAAAACGTGACATGGTGGACTTCCGCGGCCAACCACAAGAGATAAGTGGCCACATCCCGACACACTCGAGGTCTAGGAGCGTTTTTTTTTTTTTTTTTTTTGGGGGGGGGGAACGGCCCAAAATCATTTTGTTTTGTTTGGGGAAGAGGGACGGGGGAGATGGATGGAGGGGAGTAAATGTCATGCATACATACATTCCACAAAGTGTTGGAAATCCCTCACTTGGTGAAATATCCTATCTGTTTTTCTAGAGTCGAGTTCATGGACGGAGTAGGCACTCAGCAAAAGAATTGTTGTAGAGATATTCTCCTCTCTGCAGTGGGGAGTAGGCACTCAGCAAAAGAATTGTTGTAGAGATATTCTCCTCCCTGTCCACTGCAGAGCTCACCACCGGCACACACCAATGAACTGCTCCCTTCTCGTTGGGAAAAATAGTGCTGAAGCCATTGTGGCTGTTTGTAGTTGTCAGGCATCTGCTTTAAGTAAAGCATTCCTGTTCGATCGGGTGCGAGATTTGCCCCTGCTTTAAGTATGACATGAGCTTCGTGCCTGCTCGTGCCTGCCAGTGGCTGTGAATTTCCAAGCGGTATACTTTATCGTTCTGCACACTCCTCATCCATGAACACGGAATTTATGCCCACTGTGGACCAGCCATGGATATCAACTTATCAAGCTGCTGGGCTGTTGCGACTGGCCCTTGCCGCTTGCTTTTTACACATGCATCGCGGGTGTTGCTGCTATATGACATGGACAACGTCAGCCAGTCCTTTTCAACGGTCTCTAAAGGCTTCGGTGATCTACTATTCATCCTTCAGATTTCTCACTCCTTTTTCTTTCCCCCAGATCTCAAAATATGGCTCTCTTTCCATACTGAAGTAACTGAAGTAATATCTTGCCACTGTTCATGAGTGTAAAAATGAGCTTACCCATTCCTTTTTGTTAGCTATTGTGGAAAAGGGAGGCTGAGAGAGAATGAGAGAGTAGAGGTGGGTGGTGGAGAATTCAATGAAGAACTGAGTAATCAACATCCCTTCTTTGACACCCAGGATCAATCAAACAACAATCACAGCCCCGGGAAACAACAAACACCAATCTCTGTACGAAACCTGTCTCTTATACACATCTAGATGTGTATAAGAGACAGCACACACACACACACACACACACACACACACACACACACAATCAATTTTATGTCTGTCAATTCCTTTCCTATTGTCTATCCTCCCTCTGATTTTTCCTTATGTTTTTGTGCGTCCAACTGAGCACCCTTAAGTCGTGCCTAACAGTCGGTGGTTCTTCGTTTGGAGTACCAACAGCACTCTTAGGGGGGCTGCTCGGTTCGGGATGTCTGTGTTGCCTGTAGGTGATGACCGATGCTCGTCGGAGTGTCTCCCTGGCTCAGTGGGTGGTGGGAGCCAACAGTTTGCGGGGTTCACCCGTGATGTGAGTAGGTGATGTGCTGCTTTGCTCCGTGTTGAATGTGTGGACAACCCCGTCTGCGCTCCACCACTGCCTTGCTGCCCGTTCCGCTTGCCTCGCAGGTCGTTCTTGGCATGCTGCTGTCTTCGCTGTGTGGTGTGGCCGGGTTGTGGTGTTGCCTTGCGCTTCGCTGCTTCGCTGCTTCGCTGCTGCCTTGCCGCCTGTCCGCTGGTCGTGCCTTCCGGGTCCTTTGCTTGCGCGCACTGTAGTTTGGTTGTCGTGTTGGGGTTGCCTTGTGCTCCTCAACATGGTTGCTCTGCTGCTTGTCCGCTTGCCCGCTCGTCCCTTGCAGTGTGGTTGTCTTGGTGGTGTTGCCTGGTGCTTCACTGCTTGGGTGCCGTGCTGCGAGTTCGGCATGCCGTGTCGTTCCTTGCAATCTTTTTTGGCGTTGTGCAGCCGTGTTGCCTCTAGTGCGCTGCCTGGTGCTCCACAAGGTTGCTGCCCGCTGCTATGTTCCGCTTGGGGACAGTCTGCCTTCAACAAGCGTCAAAGGGTTCATGTCCCAAACCATCATATACGGAGATTCCGCAGATTGTTGAGGGTTCATCCTGATGAGTCGGTGCAACTCCAACGAAACAATCTTTCACCATCAGTTTTATTTTTTTCGGTCTTCACTCTTTTGGACTTGTGTTTTTTTTCGGTGGTTTGTGTCTGTGTGTTGCCGTGCCCTGTTGCTTCATGGCTCGCTGGTGTTCTTCTGGTTTCTCTTCCCTGTTCACCCAGTTATTGCCTATTGTTGGTTGTTTGCCCACCCGCCTCCCCTGTACCCCCCAGCCTTTGTTTCTTGTTGTTGCTGTTGTTTATCTGTCCTATCGCTTCACCCTTCCTCTCTCAACCGTCAATCTGAGTTTCTGCCCCGATGTGTTGTTGAAGTCTGAAGTCCTTTTGTACGTTGGCGTGCCATTCCCAGTCTTGGACTAATGTTTGGCTGCACATAGCCTTGTGATGTGCTGTTTTGGAGAAGGCCATCTGGTGTGAAGCTTTTATGCTGGGGTCTTGTATTCTTACCACACACACTCACACTCAATCAATCAATCAATCAATCAATCAAATCAGATCAATCAATCAATCAATCAATCAAACCCTTTTTTTGTTTATTTGTTTTCAAATTGTGCATCTGCATTTTTTTTTAAACACCTCATTTCCCTGCAAAAAACAGAAATTCATTTTAAAAAAAAACACAGGACGACTCGAGGACCATATATCTCATGATAAAAAATGACAAAAANAAAAAAAAAAAAAAAAAAAAAAAAAGGACATGCATGGGGAGGGGAGTTCACCAGGAAGAGGTGGGGAAGCAACCAGGAAATCACCATTAAATGATTTTCAATTATTTTCCCACTTTCAGCAAAATCCAAGAAGAAGTGAAGAAGAAGAAAAAGAATATCTAATGGAAATCGGCAACCTCAGGCACCTGATGGATTAGCAGAAGATTGGGAAACGTGACACTTGAATATTGTGAGGCCCCCTTGGAACAGGGGCCAAGGGTGGGAAGACATTGCACAAGGCGGTTGGAAGTCTCTAGAAAAAGGAGGGAGTCTGCGAAGCAAGTACAAAACTGGCCCTTTTGAATTGCATGAGGGATGCCGGGGCCGGTTCCCAGCACGCACAGCTGCCTACAAATAAGATTAGAGCCAGCACGCACAGCTGCCCATCAACCCTGGGCTCCCTACACCAGACATGGGCTATTATCCCTGTCGGAGTTAGGCACGCCTCCTCCTCCTCCGATGTTCTTTTTTTTTTTTCCTTTTAAGAAAATCCAAGAAGAAGCAGGAGTAATGATTCATGGAATGATGCACTCAGCAAAGTCAAAAGCTACGAGTACGAGGGAGCAGCGGGGGTACAGATTTTTCCACTCATCCTGGACTCAACATTGCGTTTCAACGACGACGAAGAGAGGCAAGACTGCGGACTCCGAGAGGGGGCGCAGGGAGAGGACGTGAGTTTGGGGAAATAACTCACTTCACACAGGATCATTAAAGTAAAGCATCACATCATTGCATCAAATCTGATATTTTATCCTATTTTCAATTCAAGGCACTGTAGCCCTAGGTTTGGCTTTGTGAATAGTATAGTACTCTATTTTACTCTACGGAAACACAGAAGCATACAACTAGTACTAAGCGTCTCGAACTCTTTACGTAGTAATACAAGTGAACACGCAGGCGATCCTCAAAGCACACAGCCCTCCAAATGTGGGAATTCCTCTTTTTGTTAGAATTCTTACCCACAAGAGCAATGATTCTTGTCTGTGTCAAGGTGCCTTGAGCCAACTTCAGTTCTGGTCTGAC